AAACCCGAAACAACAAAACGAAACTACCAAAACGAAGCGACCGAAACAAAACAACGCAAACGAGGAAGCGACCAAAACAAAAACGGCGGAATTCTTTCGCATTTAGGTACACATATGGGACTCTTGAAGACCATTACAGGCCACTGTTAAGAATAAAAAAAAAATTGCTATGGGCCACTTAAAACAATAATTTGACTCTAATATGTATTTTAAGGAAGGAACATCAATGTCAGTTTGACGAAAGCAGATAGGAAAAGGAGTATTCATTTTACTAAATAACGTCCGAGTATTGCTACTAGTCCCCTGTCGGTCGTGGTGGGTGGGGAGGGGAGGGGGGAAGTCAGCTTTTTAGGGTTCAGCCAGCAGAAGTTTCTTCATGGGAGTGAGGAATGCAAAAAAGCTTCAATCTGACTACAAAATTCTACGATTTTTTAACTGATTAATTTCTGTTTTTAGAGTAACCCAGAACAACAGTTATTAGAGGGTAAACAATCAAATTCTTGCTGGGGTAATCAACTATCAGTGACGAATGCTGAAGAGCAAACATTAGCAAAAACCAGATTTTACCTCCATTGATTCAAAATATCTGTACATTCTTTTCATTCCTTTAACACTCTCATCCTTTTCAACAAGATTGTATGCTCCCTGTGCTAAGTCATCCATTTTGTTTTTGTTATTTTATTTACTCCTTTACTCGATTCGGACTATTCATCCTAATCTCTTGTTTTGGTCGTTTCGTTTTGGTTTTTTCGGACGTGGTTTCGCTTGTTTTGGTCGTTTCGTTTTGGCGGTTTCGTTTTGTTGTTTCGGGAACAACAGGAGCATCGATCAGTCCATAATATCCAACAAAACACTCTTGTGGAGTATCACCTAATCCTAATCGAAGTCATTTGGAAAATTGCAGAAACAAGGAAGTTAGTAGGTCAAAGACCCCCGCCGTGACTCCATAAGGAACCAAGTCAGTTTTCAAAATTTTATCGTTAGTTTACTGTAACTGCAAAGCTTTCAAAACCAGATGTGCAGAAGTAAACCAGTCACGGTTGTAATCACTCGTGAAAAAGGTACAACATTGTATTGTGCTATATCATTCAAAAAATCACAGATTTACGCAACATTTTGGAAATCACACGCGGGGGATTCGAAGCATGTACATGTACTTTATTCCAGCCCTTCGCAAATATTACGGCTTATCGTCTTTGTTCTATTTCTCATGTAATATTCGAATTTAGAAAACTTTGCATAATGCTATTTAATTCTTTAGAGAAGTCCCGGAAAACTCCAGGTGTTCTTGTATAAGAGCGTAAGTTTCGTCCGTTCTCGAAACCTTTGGGCCTATTAGATGTGACAAGGTTTTTATGGAAGTGAGGGTAGTGCTTTTGTCCCAGAGGAGCGATTAGGGGCGAAGGTAGGTTTGGGTTATTAAATTGCAAAGTAAACCTTGAAATGTAAACGTATTCTAAAAAATTCCAATAATCATATGTTAATTATAGACTTCACTGCACTTCTAAGATTTGGATTCCGGACAAGATAAAACACGGGATTAATAGATGACGTCAGAAGTGCTACGGTTATAGACCAAGGTAGTACAATAGCGTGCACTCGAGGATATCGAAGTTCAAAAAACTTCATTAAAAAGCCTGGCATCAGGGAAGCCGGAAGGATGATGGCGACAACACACATGTTGACGGCAACTTGCTTCTCTCGCCGCATTACCACTGACATTCGATGTGCAGGCACTGCATCACCCAGCTGATTGTTGTGATGGCGAATGGCGAACAGCATTCTGATGTGATTGACAACTGGGATCACAAGAACCAACAGGCCACAAATAATCATAGCAATGTACCCAGCCATTGGTGACAAAATAAAACAAATGGAGATGATAAGCAGGAGCCAAATAGCACTGGCGATAAGGACAGTTCTCATCGCATCTGTGGAAAAAAAAATGATGTTGCCATGTTGGTTGCGTTATAGCTAAACGAAAATTATATATATTTTTTAAACTAATGTTTTGAGGAGAGTGAAACAGTACAGTTTATGTGTAGAGCGGGTGCATTATTTCCTCATATACTTGTGAATGTCAAGATAATCACTGATTCGAAGCCTGCTTTTGGACCCATGTATAGCTAAATATCCTCGATAATTCACAATACTAATAAGTCGCAGAAGAAGAGATAACCCACTGGACGGTAATGTGGAATAAGAATTACGCGACAGCAAAGGAAAGATGCCTTCCAGAGCAAACTTCATGGCAGAGGAGACTAAAATATCACAGTCTTCAGACACATTTTTGGATTTAAGTGCAGAAGATGAAGCCTACGAGGTGAGCGTCCTCTCATTTTGACCGCATCCTTCCCCTCCACTTTTTTTTTTGTTTGTTTGCCTTTCTTTCTTGCCTTCGCTCCAGTGTTCTAGCTTGCCCGTAGGCTGGAAAATAACCTTTCATCCTTATTGGAGCGCTTACAACGTAGGCTGCGATTGCTGTGTGATATAACTCAAGACCTTTCCTGTGGTTTCAACAGTTGTAACAAATACTACTTCAAATTTTATAATCACGACAGGTGGAAATGGAATTGGTAAGGTGTGGTAGTTCTGTGAATGTAGTAGTGTTTTCAGACGGATCTCCCTGCTTATTTCTGATGATCTTCAGTTTGCCAGTAATCATTGTTTGTAAGAGAAAAAAAATGTTTTCTGTTACAAACAGTGAGTTTCCAGTTTTCGGCACATTTCGATGCCACGTCTTTGCTTTAAATTTTGAGTATTTGGGGTACAAAACTGAAGCCACGCAGAAAAGGTCCGCAGCTAAACATGGAATCGAGTGCATATTTTTTTCTTTTGCTAATTCGTCAAATAATATTTCACTTTTAATGTATATTTCTTGAAATCTTTGCTTTGCTTCCGCGCTCAATCTACGTAGATCGCTAACTATGATCTTGACGACCTCGCGACCTCAGCGAATCTATCTGGGTAAAGCATTCTTTTCGATCTCTCCCTACTGTTAATGTACTGGCCAACCGATTTTAGCTGGAAAACCTATCATATTGGCGAAAACTAAACCGAAGATCGCAATATATAAGGAAAGAAAAATGGTTACAATTA